CACTGTTCATTGATTTGTAGACATACATGAGTATTTTGAACTGGATTCTAAGGTGAACCGGTAACCAGTGCAGTGAGGCCAAAACTGGTGTAATGTGCTCTCTTTTGCCTGTACTGGTTAAAAATGGGGCTGCTGCATTCTGGACCAGTTGTAGTCGTGCAATGGAGGTCTGACTGATACCAAACAGGAGTGAATTGCAGTAATCAAGCCTAGATGTAATGAATGCATGTATTACTGTCTCCAGGTTCTTTTTGGACAATATGGGCTTCAGTTTAGACAGCCGCCTCAGTTGGAAGAAGCATGATTTAACAATCATGTTTACATGATTGTTAAGTTTCAGGGAAGGGTCCATTATCACGCCCAGATTAGTGACTCTTTGTTTTTCTGACAGGGTTAGAGCAGAAAGGTCGATGCAGTGGTTTGTGATCGTGTCGTTGGGAGGGAACAACATGACTTCAGACTTATTTTCATTGAAACTTAAGAAGTTTAAAGCCATCCAGTCCCTGATGTCAGCCAGGCAGTTGAGCAGCGGTTGAATAGAGCATGTACCATTGTGTCTTAGGGGGAAGTAAATTTGACAGTCATCGGCATAGAAGTGGAAGGGCATGTTGTGTTTCCGGAAAATAGCACCAAGCGGCAGCAGGTATAAAGAGAATAGGAGGGGACCCAGTATGGACCCCTGCGGAACCCCCCATTTAAGCTCTGCCTCCGCGGAACTAAAATCCTTGATGGAGACACTAAAGGATCTGTCAGCGAGGTAAGATCTGAACCAATTGAGGGCTGACCCTGTGACGCCCACCCACTGCTCCAACCTAGCAATGAGGATCTCATGGTTGATGGTGTCAAAGGCGGCTGTGAGGTCCAACAGGATGAGCAGCACAGAATCACCGGTATCTGTGAATCTGAAGATGTCGTTAAAGACCTTCAGCAGGGCAGTTTCAGTGCTGTGGAGAGGTTTAAAGCCAGATTGGAAAAGCTCTAAGATGGCGTGACCCTCCAGGAAGCACTTCAACTGGGACTCGACTATTTTCTCCAGTACTTTAGAAACAAATGGGAGTTTGGAGACAGGCCGGAAGTTGGAAACGACTGAGGGGTCAAGGTTTGGTTTTTTCAGGAGAGGCTGGACAGCAGCATGTTTAAAGGATTTTGGCACCACACCAGTGGATAAACTACTGTTTACTATATCAAGAATGGACGGACCTAGAGTTGGAAACACCTCCTTTAGTAGTCGAGGGGGGACCACATCAAAGGGGGAGCCAGAAGGTTTCAAGCTGCACATGACCTGCTCTAGAGAAGATAGAGTGATGGGTTCAAAATGGTCAAAAGGAGCTACAGGTTGAGGTGGGATGGATGGGTCATGAGTTGGAGGGGAAATGAGAGCCCTGGTGGTCGCAATTTTTTCCACAAAGAAATGTAAGAAGTTGTCGCACAGCTCAGTCGAGGCTTCCATAGGTGATGGTTCAGGTTCAGTGAGGTGGAGAACAGAGTTTAGGGTGGAGAAGAGGACACGTGGGTTGTGAGAGTTTGAGGTAATTATATCAGAGAAGAATTTGGATTTAGCAGCTTTTACTGTTTTCTGATAACGGCGCCAACTCTCTTTAAGTATCTGGAAAGAGACCTGCAGCCTGTCTTTCCTCCACTTTCGCTCCGCCCTCCTACATTGCTGCCTAACGGCCTTGGTGACGTCACTCAGCCAAGGTTCTGCTCTGAGTTTTGATTTTTTTGGTTTTAACAGGTGCAACATGATCCAGAGTCTTTAAGCAGACAGAGTTGAACTGGGATGTCAGCTCCTCAGTGGTGGTGAGAAACACTGGGGGCTGAATGATCATTTCAGAGTTATAAACATCTGTGAAACGTGCAGCAATGAAGTGGTTAATGGTCCGAGTGCGACGTGCAGGAATGCACGACTTAGGAGTTAGTTGGGGGAGGGTGAACTCAAACTGGACTGGCATGTGGTCTGAAAAAACATTATCACCAATAACAAGATTATTAACAGTCACATCATGAGTTAAAACAAGGTCCAGTGTATGTCCACACTCTTGGGTGGGACCGTTTACATGCTGCGTTAAATTAAATGAGTCCAATAGATCTAAAAAGTCCTTAACCAAGGGCTTCTCAGGACAGCACACGTGCAAATTAAAGTCCCCAATAATGAAAACATGCTCATATTTTGGTGTGATTTCAGCCAAGAAGTCAGAAAACTCATTTATGAAATCCTTAGATGGAGGTGGGCGGTAGACGAGTGCAAATAACGTCGCAGGTGAATGTCCGAGTTCAAAGATGCTCAGCTCAAAGACGCTCAGTTCAAAGACGCTCAGCTCAAAGCTGGAGCGGGAAACTGGGATAGGCAGTTGTTTACAGTCAAAAGTTGATTTGAATATTGTTAATAATCCACCACCGCGCCGGCCTGATGGCTGTGGGGCGTTAAAACACAGACAGTTCGGTGCCAGTAATTCCGTCAATGCGCTGGACTCACCTGGAGACAGCCAAGTCTCTGTGATGCACAGAAAGTCCAAATCGTGCTCTTGAAAGTAATCCCTGAGGATAAAAGTTTTGTTGGTAAC